AGCAGCCTGGGATGTTGGATTTGGGCGTTGGATTGATCCATAAATCCTTGGAGGTCCTGGAGGAGATCCCTGAGGTGTCCAGGGAAGGCTGGAGCAGCCTGGGATGTTGGATTTGAAGGAATTGGATTGATCCATAAATCCTTGGAGGTCCTGGAGGAGATCCCTGGAGGTGTCCAGGGAAGGCTGGAGCAGCCTGGGATGTTGGATTTGAAGGAATTGGATTGATCCATAAATCCTTGGAGGCCCTGGAGGAGATCCCTGAGGTGTCCAGGGAAGGCTGGAGCAGCCTGGGATGTTGGATTTGAAGGAATTGGATTGATCCATAAATCCTTGGAGGCCCTGGAGGAGATCCCTGGAGGTGTCCAGGGAAGGCTGGAGCGGCCTGGGATGTTGGATTTGAAGGAATTGGATTGATCCATAAATCCTTGGAGGTCCTGGAGGAGATCCCTGGAGGTGTCCAGGGAAGGCTGGAGCAGCCTGGGATGTTGGATTTGAAGGAATTGGATTGATCCATAAATCTGTGGAGGTCCTGGAGGAGATCCCGGAGGTGTCCAGGGAAGGCTGGAGCAGCCTGGGATGGACGGTGGGCGGTGCAGGGGCTGGCATGGGGTGAGCTGAGATCCCTTCCCACCCCTGATCCCAGGATTCTCCTGGCTCCAGACCTTGCTTTGTCTCCCAGGCTGTGCTGAGGGGCTGAGCCGCCCGGGAAAATCAGATTTTCCACCTCTTGTTTCCCTGCGTGCCCCGGGCTGGATCCAGGCCTGGTTTAGCAAAAGGAAAAACCTGGATTATTGCAATTCCTGACCTTCCCATCCTGGTACTGGGTCTGGTGTGCCTTGGAGCTGAGCTGGTCCGTGCTGGGGGTTTTATCCTGATTAATCCTTGCCGGGCTCCTGATTCCACTTTTCCTTTAAATCAGTTTAATCCTTGCCTGGCTCCTAATTTTAGTTTTCCTTTAAATCAGTTTAATCCTTGCCTGGCTCCTAATTTTAGTTTTCCTTTAAATCAGTTTAATCCTTGCTTGGCTCAGGGTGCCCTGCCTGGCTCCTGATTTTAGTTTTCCTTTAAACCAGTTTAATCCTTGCTTGGCTCCTGATTTCCTAATTTCACTTTTCCTTCAAATCAGTTTAATCCTTGCCTGGCTTCTGATTTCACTTTTCCTTTAAATCAGTTTAATCCTTGCTTGGCTCAGGGTGCCCTGCCTGGCTCCTAAGTTTAGTTTTCCTTTAAATCACTTTAATCTTTGCCTGGCTCCTGATTCCACTTTTCCTTTAAATCAGTTTAATCCTTGCCTGGCTCCTGATTCCACTTTTCCTTTAAATCAGTTCAATCCTTGTCTGGCTCCTGATTCCACTTTTCCTTTAAATCACTTTAATCCTTGCCTGGCTTCTGATTTCACTTTTCCTTTAAACCAGTTTAATCCTTGCTTGGCTCAGGGTGCCCTGCCTGGCTCCTAAGTTTAGTTTTCCTTTAAATCACTTTAATCCCTGCCTGGCTCCTGATTCCACTTTTCCTTTAAATCACTTTAATCCTTGCCTGGCTCCTGATTCTATTTTTCCTTTAAATTACTTTAATCCTTGCCTGGCTCCTGATTCCACTTTTCCTTTAAATCACTTTAATCTTTGCTTGGTTTCAGGGTGCCCTCCCTGGCTCCTGATTTCAGTTTTTCTTTAAATCACTTTAATCCTTGCCTGGCTCCTGATTCCACTTTTTCTTCAAATCAGTTTAATCCTTGCCTGGCTCAGGGTGCTCTGCCTGGCTCCTGATTCCACTTTTCCTTTAAACCGGTTTAATCCTTGCCTGGCTCCTGATTCCACTTTTCCTTTAAATCAGTTTAATCCTTGCCTGGCTCCTGATTCCCCTTTTCCTTTAAACCAGTTTAATCCTTGCCTGGCTCCTGATTCCACTTTTCCTTTAAATCACTTTAATCCTTTCTTGGTTTCAGGGTGCCCTGCCTGGCTCCTGATTTTGCTTTTCCTCTGTTGAAATGATTTCGTTGTAATTATCAATCCCAAAATTTAATCTGGGCAAAAACCCAAACCTGGGTGCTCCATGTGGGATTCAGGCAGGGAAATCAGAGCCAGACTTGACCCTGCTGTTCTCAGGGCCTGCTCAGAGTGGGGAATAACACAGAAAAACAGAATAAATGTCTTTTAAACAGATTTATTAAAGACAGAAAACCAGAATAAATCTCTTTTAAACAGATTTATTAAACACAGAAAACCAGAATAAATCTGTTTTTCTCCGTTGCTGTTCCAGTGCTGTGGCCCAGAGACGTTGATTGATCTCATCCCTATTGTTCCAATTCCGGGCTCTGGGACAATAAATGGTGCAAAATCCATGGAATTCACCCTGGAAAATACAAGGAAAGCACAGATTTGACTCCTTCTGGTGTTGTGTGGGCCTTTGTTCCTCCTGTGGCTTCCTCTTCAAATCTAGAACAGATTTTTCATTTCTAAAAATGCCACAGACCCATAAATACTCACAGCTCAGCCTAGGCCAGGAATTCCCAGGAATTCCCATATTTCCAACCACAAAACCCCTCTGGAAATGAAAGTTCCAACCAAAGTTCCCAACCCAGGGAACGGTCGCTTTGCCCTTTTTCTTTTTTTTTTGTCTCTTTTTGATCCAACTTGTTGGGGAAGATGATAAAGATATTATAATTAGCATATTATTATGATATAATAATTATATAAATATATTATTATATAATTATAATATAATTATATATTATAATTCATATAATTATATACTTCTATTATATAAATTTATTTATAATATGTAGTTATAATATATAATAAATATATAAATCTATTATATAAATCTATTATAAATCTAATTATATTCTATATAATTAATGTATTATAAATACAATTAATATATTTTATACATATATTTGTATGTATTATTAATATATAAATATCTTGTTATGATTACATTATTATTATATGGTTCTATTATTCTGTTGTAATTATATTATTATGATATAATTATATCATATTATACATATGATTGCCTGGCAGAAAATTTTGAGAATATGGAAACTAGAAGTGAGACTGAAATGAAAGCCAAGCTTTTTATTATTTATTATTTCTATTAATAACATATTATATTCAATCTGTACTAAAAGAATGTACTCTTATACTCTCATCCTCTCTCTCTTCCCCACTCACTTTATTTCTCTCTCTCTTTTTCTCTCTTTATTTCTCTCTCTCTCTTTTCCTCTCTCTTTATTTCTCTCTCTCTTTCCCACTCTCTTTATTTCTCTCTCTCTTTTTCTCTCTTTATTTCTCTCTCTCTTTTTCTCTCTTTATTTCTCTCTCTCTCTTCCCCACTCTCTTTATTTCTCTCTCTCTTTTTCTCTCTTTATTTCTCTCTCTCTCTTTCCCTCTCTCTTTATTTCTCTCTCTCTCTTTCCCTCTCTCTTTTCTCCTCTTTTCTGCTCCAGCTGTGGCTGGCAGCTCCCTGCAGGTCCCTGCACTTGGCCCTTTGCAATGAACCCCAAATTCCACCCCTGCCTGCAGAGATCCCTCACCTCCATCCTTCCCTGATGGGGAAGGTGAAACAGGAAAGCTTTATCAATATGATTTTTTGTCTGGCAAAAGATTTTGAGAATATAGAAACCAGAAACGAGATTGAAATGAAAGCTTTGAGATCCCTCAGTCACTGAACACCTGGCAAACAATGGTGTGGCCACTGAAGGTGATCCCCTTGTGATGGAACAACTCCCTCTGCCTGCAGACAGGCCCACGGGGCAGAGCAGACCCCACGGCTGGGCAGAAGGGCCCAGAGAGGAGTTTGTAGGGTGTAAAATGTAACACAGGATGGTGATGGGATGATGGCAATGTTTGTAGGGTGTAAAATGTAACACAGGATGGTGATGGGATGATGGCAATGTTTGTAGGGTGTAAAATGTAACACAGGATGGTGATGGGATGATGGCAATGTTTGTAGGGTGTAAAATGTAACACAGTGTGGTGATGGGATGATGGCAATGTTTGTAGGGTTTAAAATGTAACACAGGATGGTGATGGGATGATGGCAATGTTTGTAGGATGTAAAATGTAACACAGGATGGTGATGGGATGATGGCAATGTTTGTAGGGTTTAAAATGTAACACAGGATGGTGATGTGATGATGGCAATGTAATGGTTCTTATGGGCTGTGTGTAAATGCTGTAGGATTTGTATCTTGTACTGGATTGGTGAGTGAGAATTCTGATATTCAACACAGAAGAAGATTTGTTGTATTGTAACGGGAGCCTTGATCTCTCACCCTATAAATCTCTTATCCTCTCATCCTCTTTACCTTTAGGGTTTAAAATGTAACCCAGTGTGGTGATGTGATGATTCTTACAGGCTGTGTGTGAATGCCACAGGATTTGTATCTTGTACTGGATTGGTGAGTGAGAATTCTGATATTCAACACAGAAGAAGATTTATTGTATTGTAACAGGAGCCTCACTCTCTTACCCTCTCATCCTCTCATCCCCTTTACCTTTAGGGTTTAAAATGTAACCCAGTGTGGTGATGTGATGATTCTTACAGGCTGTGTGTAAATGCCATAGGATTTGTATCTTGTGCTAGATTGGTTAGTGAGAATTATGATATTCAACACAGAAGAAGATTTGTTGTATTGTAAAGGGAAACTCGCTCTCTTACCCTATAAATCTCTTATCCTCTCATCCTCTCATCCCCTTTACCTTTAGGGTTTAAAATGTAACCCAGTGTGGTGATGTGATGATTCTTACAGGCTGTGTGTGAATGCCACAGGATTTGTGTCCTAGGTCGGGTTAGTGACAATCAGAATGTTCAACACAGAGGAAGATTTAAGGTCTTGTAACGGGAGCCTCACTCTCCTCCTCTCTTGCCCTCTCATCCTTGCAATAAACCCCAAATTCCACCCCTGCCTTCAGAGATCTCCCCTCTCCTCCCATCCCCACCGTCCCACCCCGCGTCTCTCCCACACCAACTCTTTCTTTTTGTTGTTGTTTTCCCAGGAGTTTTTTGAGAACCCGGCGTTCCGTCCGGACGGGCTGAAGCTGTACCCCACGCTGGTGATCCGCGGCACGGGGCTCTACGAGCTCTGGAAAACGGGGAGGTACCGGAGCTACCCCCCCAGCACCCTGGTGGACCTGGTGGCCCGGATCCTGGCCCTGGTGCCGCCCTGGACACGCGTCTACCGCGTCCAGAGGTAATTCCCGGCTGGAGCCGCCCCCGCGCTGCGCCGGCAGCGATTCCGGCCTTGATCCGTGAATTACGGCCCCAGATCCGACCGGGCCTTCGTTATCGGCCAGGGGGCTCCGGCCTTTCCTTGGACACTGCCAGGGATTCCAGGGATTGGATCCATCCCCATCCCAACTCCTGTCTGGGAAGGAATTTCGGGATCAAGAGGCTTCACTGGGAATTGGGCACTCCAGGAAGGGTCTCCCTTCCCTTTTCCATCCCCGAATTCCATAAGGAATCCCTTGGAATGAATTCTGAGTGTCCTGGATCCCAGAATCCCAGAATGGTTTGGACAGGATCCATGGATCTTCAATCCCGTCCCATTCCAACCTTGATCCCAGATTGCACCAACCTTTCCTTGGACACTGCCAGGGATTCTCTGGGAATGCCAGCCCAGCCAGGAATTCCTTCCCAAATCCCACCCCAAGCTCCCCTTTCCCAGGGAATTCCCTCCATTCCCAGCTCTCCCAGCCTGGCATTGGATCCATCCCCGTCCCAACTCCTCTCTGGCAAGGAATTTTGGGATCAAGAGGCTTCACTGGGAATTGGGCACTCCAGGAAGGGTCTCCCTTCCCTTTTCCATTCCCAAATCCTATAAAAATCCCCTCAGGATGGATCCTGGGTGTCCTGGATCCCAGACTCTGGAATGGTTTGGGACGGGATCCATGGACCTTCAATCCCATCCCATTCCAACCTTGATCCCAGATTGCTCCAGCCTTTCCTTGGACACTGCCAGGGATTCTCTGTGAATTCCAGCCCAGCCCCTCCCACCCTCACAGCCAGGAATTCCTGTCCAAGATCCCATCTAAATCTCCCTTTTCCCAGTGGGAAGCCATTCCCTGTGTCCTGTCCCTCCATCCCTTGTCCCTCTCCAGCTCTCCTGGAGCTCCTTTAGGCTCTGGAAGGGCTCCAGGATCTCCCTGGATCCCTCTCCAGGTGACCATTCCCAGCTCTCCCAGCAGCTCTGCTGGCCCCCTGTGCTTCCCAGCCCCAGACGTGTCCAGAGGTAATTCCCAACGGGAGCGGTCTCCGCGCTGCTCCGGGAGGGATTCCGGCCTCGATCCGTCAATTACGGCCCCGTCTGACTCGGCCTTCGTTATCTCACAGCTTTAATTGCTAATTAAGCAAAGATCGTAGAGCTGGTCCCTCTCACCTGTGCAGGTGGGAAAGGCCAAGTGGGATGGGGAGGCGGAAGTTGGGAAATGCGCGGAAAATTCCGGAGGCGCCGCTGACCGGGGGCTGGGAGGATCCTGAGGGATAATGGGGTGGATCCTCTGATGGATAATTAATGGGGTGGATCCTGTGGTGGGTAATGGTGGATCCTGTGATGGATAATTAATGGGGTGGATCCCGTGGTGGATAATTAATGGGGTGGATCCCATGGTGGATAATGGTGGATCCCATGGTGGATAATTAATGGGGTGGATCCCGTGGTGGATAATGAATTGGATGGATCCCATGGTGGATAATGGGTGGATCCCGTGGTGGATAATTAATGGGTTGGATCCCATGGTGGATAATGATGGATCCTCTGATGGATAATTAATGGGGTGGATCCCATGGTGGATAATTAATGGGGTGGAGGATCCCATGATGGATAATGATGGATCCTCTGATGGATAATTAATGGGGTGGATCCCGTGGTGGATAATGATGGATCCTGTGATGGATAATTAATGGGGTGGATCCCATGGTGGATAATGATGGATCCTCTGATGGATAATTAATGGGGTGGATCCCATGGTGGATAATTAATGGGGTGGATCCCGTGGTGGATAATGAATTGGATGGATGCCATGGTGGATAATGGGTGGGTCCCGTGGTGGATAATGGTGGATCCTGTGATGGATAGTTAATGGGGTGGATCCCATGGTGGATAATTAATGGGGTGGATCCTGTGGTGGATAATGGGTGGATCCCATGGTGGATAATTAATGGAGTGGATCCCATGGTGGATAATTGATTGGCTGGATCCCATTATGGGTAATTAATTGGATGGATCCTGTAGTGGATAATTGGTGGATGTCATTATGGATAATTTCATGGATCCCATGATGGATAATGGGATGGATCTCGTGATTGATAATTAATGGGATGGATCCCATGATGGATAATTGGGTGTATCCCATGAAGCATAGTGGGATGGATCCCGTGATGGATAATTGGGTGGATCCTGTGGTGGATAATTAATTGGGTGGATTCTGTGATGGATAATGGGATGGATCCCATGATGGATAATTAATGGGATGGATCCCATGGTGCCTAGTGGGATGGATCCTGTGATGGATAATTAATGGGTTGGATCCCATGCTGGATAATGGATGGATCTTGTGGTGGATAATTAGGATAATTAATTGGATGGATCCCATGGTGGATAATTAATTGGGTGGATCCTGTGATGGATAATTGGTGGATCTCATGGTGGATAATGGGATGGATTCCTTGATGGATAGTTAATTGGGTGGATCCTGTGATGGGGAATTAATTGGATGGATCCCGTGATGGATAATTAAATCCCATGATAATTAATTGGTTTGATTCTGTGGTGGATGATTAATTGGATGGATCCCATGGTGGATAATGGGATGGATTCCATGATGGATAATTAATTGGACGGATCCCATGATGGGTAATGGGATGGGTTCCTTGATGGATAATTGGGATGGATCCCATGATAGATAATGGATGGATCCTGTGGTGGATAATTAATTGGGTGGATCCCATTATGGATAATTAATTGGCTGGATCCTGTGATGGATAATTGGTGGATCTCATGGTGGATAATGGGATGGATCCAATGATGGATAATTAAATCCCATGATAATTAATTGGATTGATTCCGTGGTGGATGATTAATTGGGTGGATCCCATGGTGGATAATGGGATAGATTCCATGATGGATAATTAATTGGGGTGGATCCCATGGTGGATAATTAATTGGGATGGATCCCATGATGGGTAATGGGATGGATCCCGTGATGGATAATGGGATGGATCCCATAATGGATAATTAATTGGATGGGTCCAATGATGGATGGGATGGATCCCATAATAATATGGGATAATTAATTGGATGGATCCCACGCTGGATAATGGATAGATCCTGTGGTGGATAATTAATGGGCTGGATTCCATGATGGATAATTGGGTTGATCCCATGATGGGTAATTAATGGGCTGGATTCCATGATGGATAATTGGGTGGATTTAATGATAGGTAATTAATGGGCTGGATTCCATGATGGATAATTGGGTGGATTTAATGATAGGTAATTAATGGGCTGGATCCCGTGATGGATAATTGGGTGGATTTAATGATAGGTAATTAATGGGCTGGATCCCATGATGGATAATTAATGGGTGGATTTAATGATGGGTAATTAATGGGCTGGATTCCATGATGGATAATTGGGTGGATTTAATGATGGGTAATTAATGGGCTGAATTCCATGATGGATAATTAATGGGTGGATTTAATGATAGGTAATTAATGGGCTGGATTCCGTGATGGATAATTGGGTGGATTTAATGATCCTCTCCCAGGATTCCTCACCTGCCTGGACTCTTTTCCCGGATTTTCCCTGGAATTGTGGCAGGGTGGGGATGAGCAGAGGGAATTGGCACAGGGGGAGACAGCTGAAGGCGGGAAACACCGGGAGCTTTGGGAAAAAAAATAAATCGGGATTTAGGGAAAAGCGGAGCTTCGAAATTATTGAAAAATGAATTTTTGCTCAAAATTCTGTTGATTTTCAAGGACGGGGAAAGGGAAAGGGTCGGGAAGCAACGCTGGGAAAGAGGAAGGGAGTGGGAATGGGAGAGGGGATGAGAGGGAATTCCAGGGAATTTGGAGATCCGGAATGAGAGGAAATCCAGGGAATGTTGGAGATCTGGAATGGAAGGGAATCCAGGGAAGGTTGAGATCCGGAATGAGAGGGAACCAAGGGAAGTTGGAGATCTGGAATGAGAGGGAATTTTGGAAAATTTGACACCTGGAATGGGAGGGAATCCAGAGAAGTTTGTGATCCAGAATAAGAGCAAATCCAGAATGAGTGGAAATCCAGGGAAGTTGGAGATCCAGAATGAGAGGGAATTTGGGGAAATTTGGCATCTGGAATGGGAGGGAATTCCAGGAAGTTCGAGATCCAGAATGACAGGAAATCCAGGGAAATTTAACATCTGGAATGGGAGGGAATTCCAGGAAGTTTGAGATCTGGAATGAAAGATGGGATGAGAGGGAATTCCAGGGAAATTTGACATCTGGAATGGGAGGGAATCCAGAGAAGTTTGAGATCCAGAATGAGAGAGAATTTTGGGAAATTTGACATCTGGAATGGGTGGGAAATCCAGGAAAGTTTGAAATCCAGAATGACAGGAAATCCAGGGAAATTTGACATCTGGAATGAGAGGGAATTCCAGGGAGTTTCAGCATCTGGAATGAGAGGGAATTTTGGGAAATTTGACATCTGGAATGGGAGGGAATTCCAGGGAGTTTGAGATCCAGAATGAGAGATGGGATGAGAGGGAATGCAGGGAAGTTTGAGATCCAGAATGAGAGGGAATTTTGGGAAATTTGACATCTGGAATGAGAGGGAATTCCAGGGAGTTTCAACATCTGGAATGAGAGATGGAATGAGAGGGAATCCAGGGAAATTTGGCATCTGGAATGGGAGGGAATCCAGAGAAATTTGAGATCCAGAATGAGAGGGAATCTATGGAAGTTCAAGATCTGGAAGGAGAGGGAAGTTTTGGGAATTTGACATCTGGAATGGGAGAAAATCCAAGAAGTTTGAGATCTGGAAGGAGAGATGGGGTGTAGAGGGAATCCAGGGAAATTTGAGATCCAGAATGAGAGGGAATTTTGGGAAATTTGACATCTGGAATGGGAGAGAATTCCAGGAAGTTTGAAATCCAGAATGAGAGGAAATCCAGAGAAGTTGGAGATCCAGAATGGGAGGGAATTCCGGGATAT